TCATGCATGTCTTTGTGTTAAATAAGATATATATAGTGAAAGAATTGAAATCGTTGCACAAAATATTCGTGAAAGAATATAGAATGTGTCACTTAGTAGAATTGGTACTCTAAGGGCTTGGCTTACTCGAAATAGAATGGAAAGAACAGTTTTAAAAGTAAACAAATGCCTCGTTTCAACAACCAATCAGGATCGAGATACCCTAATTACTCCACTTGCAGGCATCCTATTAGTAAGAATTGCATATAGTTGCATTTAATTTTGCATCTGTACTTCTTTTTAATTCCATAAGAGATTTGTACTGGCATAAATAAAAAAGAACTAGTTTGAGAAAAAACCAGATGGCTGAAAAAACCCATCAGCAATTATATCGAAGTCCTGTTGTAAAGATGGGAAATAAAAGAAGACGAAAATGTTTACAGGATTTCCCTCTCCTTGTAACGGGGAGATGAAGTTCTCACTAAAAATGAATTTGACTTAATACTAATTTTGAAAGTTGGATTCAAAATTGTCTAAATGAATTTGAAAACATGAAAGATTTTTTTCTTTAATTCAGAGACTTGAAAACCACACTCGAAAATTAATCCTCAAACACGAGTTCTTTCTGAGTCAATAATTGTTTTCTAAATTGAATTTAAAATTACATCGCATGAGATGCTAACGTCAATACGTCATGGGAAACTAGAATAAATTATATTTATCAATGTAATTTCTTTTTAACTTCGAAAAATAACGATAACTGGAGAAGATTCGTAGGAATTGGGAGGAGGAGCAAATCTAGTAGGAGAATGAGTCTCTTTGTGATGAATAAAATTAAACTATATCTCGATAATGTTTATTTTTTAACTAAAGTTTAAAAAAATGTAGTATACTTCTGCTATTATTTAATTTATTATACTTTAATTTATCATTCTTGAAAAATTCATTAGACTTTAAATATGTATTGTGCTTTCAACCAAATTTTTAAGGTCTTAACTACTACCATTTATTTTTCTAAAAATGAATGCAAAATGTTTTAGCAATATTAACATTTATCATTTTTAATGACTCAATCAATAAATGCATCATAAAGTTTAAACGAAGCTAGAAGTACACGATAAATAATAAAAACAGTTAATTCGAAAAATCAAATAACTGGAATTTAATTTACGTAGCAAATATTGTAAGGGAATTTATTACGGTCTTTAAATTAATTTTAATTTACAACGTTCTTTTTCTTAAAAGGGCTTAAACAAAACTTTGATCTATATTCCAAAATGAACACTAAAAAAATAAAATAAAAATTGAATAACGTGGCGCATTTTGTGTGATTGGATACCTGCATGTGACGTAGATCTTGGCATTTGTTGATTCAGAAGACAATTAGGTTCGACACACACGCGTGACGTTACTTGCATTTATTAATTAAATCTGATTCAAATCACTTGGTGAGATACAACCACTTCACTTTTCTTCGAGTTTAAAAACCATAATTATATGCTAGTTATTTATTAAAAAGAAATTATAAATAAGGAAATATAAGCCTTACAAGGCAGCGTGTATATTTTCTAAGCGAGTTGCGTGATCTAATATAATAAAAATTCAGTTCGCTCGAAGCATTTGCATGAATTGCATAAACAATTCAAATACTTCCGACGCCAGCGCCATCTTTTGAAGAACAATTGTTTCCGCTAATCATTGTCTAGACTCAAAATACTTTTATCTAAAACTTAGCAAGTGCGAATTAATGATTACGAACAACAACTTGAATAACAATTAATTTTTTTTCTAATGAGACATACTTTGTTTACATAATTTTAAATTCAAACTCACTACTGGTTAACTATACAATCTAATCATTAAAATTAACTATTTTTAAGCATTTGAATACATAATTACATAGTTATGTTTAATTCTTTTGTATTTGAACTTGAAATATTCATAGAGCAAGAAAGGGAATAATGTTTATGATAATGAAGGATGATTAACATGATCACTTAGAGAATAATCACTAAATCAATTCAAAATGAATTATTATTATACTTATTATAACAACTAGCTGAATACCCGTTCTTCGTACGGGGTTAAAAAAATGAAGAATCAATATATTAGTTCTGAATAGCACTACGAAATGCGTTTACGCCAGCTGATGATAGTCAAAATTTACCAAATATTAAGAGAGTTTATTTAAAAGACCTCTTGTCAGAGTATCTATATTAAAGCTTTCAAGTATTGATGCAGTTTTAATTGGTGTCAAATGTACAAACATGATATAATGTACCTATTTTGGCATATTTGGCACCCCTTAAAATTAGACCATTAATCTTAATACCAGAAGTGCTTATTAGTAAAATTAATTAAACATCACTGTCACCAATAATATCACTGCGATATTTTAGATTCTCCTAATTGAATTTATTCAATTTTTTTATTTATTTTTCAATTTAGTTCACATTTTTTTGTCAATTGGCAACTATTAAATAAAATTAATTGAGCATCAATGGTTCCCGTAATAGGAGGTGATATTCCTCGTTTTTTTCTTAAATAGATTATAACTCTTTTCTATTAATTTTATATTTTAGTTCGCAGCTTTTTTTAATATAAATTTATCATAATTAGTCGAAAAATTAATGACTAATTTATATAATTTATAGAAATCAGCCATTAATTTTTCGTCAATAAAATTACACATGGATAATTTTTGTATTTCTTCTAACTAATAAGTAATATTTCTCCATTATTTCGGCTTATTAGCACATATTTTTCGTCTCAATTATAGTTGATTTTAAATTACCTAGTTTTATCGAAGTACGTTTTATAAAGGTCTCATGCTTTGTCGAATCCCAAATAAAATGTACAACTAATCAAATTTTATTCTCTTTTTAAGAATATTAAAGTAGATTTTAAACTATTTATTGCAATTTAGAGTACATTGCAAACTCAAAGAAATTACACATGAATATTTTTTTTTATAATAATCAGTTTTTCACCTATAATATGCTGCCAAATCTTATCAATATGGCTCTACCTGAAATATGCTGATTAACTTGGATGAAGTGAAAGCTACTATAAGTTACATTGCCAGACAATAAAATAGAACTTATCTGGAAAAAAAGAACCTTTCTAAGGCAGGTTTGGATTTTTGATCCTCAAAAGAGTAGGAGTTATCCCCAATCGGAAAATGCTGCCTCAGTGGTTTAGTCAGAGCATTGTTTGAAAGTTAATTTCACTTTTTGTGATTTTTAACATACTACTGGAGCTGTTTTTCTTTCACAAAACCCTTTGCACACTGTTAGAAAAACTTTTTAAACATCTAACAATAATTCGATTTAAAAAATAATGTATTTATCATTGTATGTATATTTTTAAATAAATTATTTTGACAGTGGAAATAAAATATTTCAAATTGTAATATGTACGAAAGTAAACATAATTTTAAGCGCTTTATTAATTAGTAAGAGATCCAAAATTTGCATTGAATTGCTTGAAAAATTCTGATAAATATGAAGAAAAAAAATTATTTCGTTGTAATTTTATTATTCAGAAACTATTTTAAATTTTTATGTAAAAATGTTTAATTTTGTCATTTACCTACAGTTTAAAATGAAGTAAACATATGTGTGTTACATTCGATATCATTTCTAAAATAAATTATAAATAATAAATATTTATAAAAAAATTTCTATATGCAATTATTGTTGTAGACAGGAATTTTACTATACTGTGCAAAATTGTTTACAGTTCGCGTCAATAGACCCAAGGATATCAAGTGTAATATGTGAAAATTATTTTTAAGATTAAGGGGTTCAAAGCATTGATAGAATTCATCGGGCTAAACTATTCGAACTATAATTCCCGGATAGTGTTATTTCAAAAACATTTTATTTGAAAAAAACTGCATAAATTAATTTATATATTTAAAATTGTAACCTCGAGCCCGTAAGATTGCATCTTAGCAGGCAAAAGTTTTAAATAATTATTAAATTATTATTCCAGAATTAAAATTATTATTTTAATTAAAATTATTATTCCAAAAATTATCCAGCATTTTTCTCACTCCATTAAAGTTTCTAAATGCAATGTCTCCTCTATTTTTCTAAAACCTAGTAAAGTATTAACTTTGATTCTACAGTTTGAAAATACCAGTTTTAAGTTTCAATTTGAATTTCCAAATCAAATTCACTTTAATTATATTAAAACACTGTTTTTTTTCCTGAAATTCAGAGTTTTTTTTAAAAAAAATTACATGCATTTTTAGTTAAAATTGTTAATATTTTCAATTTTAATAATTTTACATTATATTCCATATTATTTGCAAAAACCTTCGGTGTGTTTCAATCTTATTTTATTTCAGAAATTCTTTACTTTCTGGAGCTGTTTAAAAGAATATCTCTCTTCATCGTATTCACATTTTGAAACATTTTTACTAAAAACTCAATTTTTTTTAAACTGAACAAAAATTTAAGATAAGCCATGTTTCAAAAGCAAGTTCCAATACACCTCACATAAAATATCTTTATGCAAATACGTTTTATCATTAAAAACTAGGAAAATAATGTTATAATGATATAATTGACATGACAGTGTAGTTTTTTACGCCTTTTATTAGTTAATATTAAATATTTTTTGTAATTTTAGTTTTGAACAATATAAAATGCTCTTGTTATAAAATTAATCGTAACTTTAAACTACAAATAACGAGTTAAAATGATTGAAAACTTTTTAACACCTCCCTTCAGTATCTATCTCCATTCTATCAGAAGCAACAGTCAATCTAGTAAGTCTAAAAGTAAGAATTTTTCAGGGTGTGACCACTAGTAGAATTGAAAAATTCCACTAAGTAATAAACTTGATTCTTCGCTCAGAGATACACCCCTTTCAACTTTTCCTACAGGATAGCCGATTTACCTTGTGCCGGCAAACCACCAGTACAGTCACCAAGACAACGAAAGCCCAAAGCTTGGCAGAAAATCTCTCCACCAGGGGCATGCTGTGAAGTGGGGATGTGGGGGAGACGATCACAGAGTACGTGGTAGTTGGGATTGGACTATTGGAAAAGACGGACGGGTATCAGAAAAGTTTTGGCTAAAGATATAAACTGTGTCCCCTGTTGTAGATCGGGATTTGTGAAACTTTTTATCTGTCTTTTCCGCCGGTGAATTCAGTGTTTGTGACTTTGTGGAATTATTGAAATTTGTACTGTTGACAATTGGAATTCTTTTAAAACTTTAGCAAATTATTGTGGCAGATAAAGAAGCAATAAAGGAAAACGTCGAAATCCATGCTTAGGTAAGAATGGTGATTAGTATATTATTTTATAATTTTTTTTTTATAAAACTGAAGTGGTTTTATATATATTTTCTTACATTTTTAAAATCACTATGATTTTGTTACTAAACTTTTATTTTAAATGTTTTTCACAATATAATTCCATTTCAAGGTTTTTCGAAATATTGTTTTGAAATTAGATTTATCCGAATTCTTTCGAAAGTAATGTAAGAGATATAGTTATATGATTTCCTTTTAATTTATTAAAAAATTCAAATTATATTAAAGAATTTACACCGTGTTTATATGGTTACTTTTAAAGAAAAGTTAGTTTACGTGACGTTTTTCCAGATACAAATTTAGTTAATTAAGATCTAAACATAAATACCAATCCTTCAAGTTTACATAAACGCAAATCTGATACCTGAGGCTTTCCCAACAAATTTAAATATGAATAATCATCTATAGACACACATTATTTGCATTATTGTATTCATGATATAATACTATAATAAGAAAAGTACCAAATGTAATGTTTACGAAAATTACTTATTCCTAATGGTTGCATGGTTTGAATTCAAGCAGAAAAACTATCTCACCTATTTTGTAGCTATATTTATAGAACGGTTACTAGCTTTTTATTTATTTTTTTACTTAAATTTATTCCATACACCAATAAAAATTAATTTTATATAAATATTAAAAAATAATATGATGTAATAAAATAAATTCTTTTAAATGTTATTTAATGTCATAATATTTTTAAATGGAAATGAATAATGAAAAAATANAATTTATTCCATACACCAATAAAAATTAATTTAATATAAAGATTAAAAAATAATATGATGTAATAAAATAAATTCTTTTAAATGTTATTTAATGTCATAATATTTTTAAATGGAAATGAATAATGAAAAAATAACAAAAATGGGACTTGTACCAGTAAAAAAAGCACTCTTGAATAATAATAAAAATGAATATATTTTATAATTTCAACCTGATTTGTCACGAATCGTTTTTTAATACAAAGTTTCTATTGCGTATAAACATGTCGTAAAAGGAGATACCAAACTATAAATTGCTTGATAAGTTTATAATAATTATTATAATGTTTAGTTCATCGTCCTGTCGAAGCTTTAATGTTTAAATACAAAGAATACAATATGTTTCTAGCTTTTTTAAGTTTTTACAATTAAATTAAAGCTAACATTTATTAAAATACTCCTGAATAATTTTCATTGATGAATTTAACTAATGCTAATCAAAGTTTAAACTTCAAAATAAAATCTAGTAACTTATAAGTTATTCTCTCTAGCATTAATATATAAATACTACCCATTTATTACTATTTTTAATATCAGTGCTTGCGTTACAGCAAATCTATTTACATTTTTCATAGGTAAGCAACATTCTTTTAAATAATTTTTTTGAATATTTTTAATAATTGAAATTGAATCAATTTTTTATTTAATATTTCAATGAGAAAATCATAAATATTAAATAATATTATAATAATTAACTTAAAATTTTTGTGTTAGATGCTTCGTTCAGTTGCTTTCAATTAATAAATCGAATATCATATTTAAATTCTTGAAAGAATTATATTAAATTTTTTTAAGATATTTAGTATAAATTATTTAAAATTTTTCAAAATAAAAACAGATAAAGTTATATATAAAAGTAAACAGAAAGGGCGCGTAGAGTAAATAATTGAAGTTTATGTAGTTCAGTTAAATTCAATGTATTTACTGATAGTGAGCAATTCTCGTCATCTGGGCCATTTTTTGGACTAATTCTTAGAAATTATCAATGCTAAAGAAACCAAAATATCTAAATTACGTGAAAGAAGAAAAAAAACTGTTAACCATAATGATATTTTATCAAAATAGCCCTTGCGAGATTAAAAAAAAAGCATTTTCTGCAGCTATGTAATTATGATTTTTCTTTCTCAATAGTTTCGGATTCCTTAGTGTTTTTCTCCATATTTGGACTACAGAATAGGGAGTAACTTTCTAAATTTTGTTATCCTCTGATTTGGTAGACTCTCGTTGTCCGTTATCCGCCAACTTACTTAGTCATTTTCCAAGTTACTTTAAGAAATATGTTATCCACCGAGATGGTTAAAGAAAAACGTTGTCCACCGCGTTAGTTTAAGAAATGCGTTGTCCGGCGAATTAGTTCCCGAAGAACGTTGCGTGCCGAGTCATTCCTCTGCCTTGTTAGATTTAATTAATTTAATTAACGTGGTTAGATCCATGAAATTATTTAGATTTCCTTTTACTGTTTAAGTAAGTTCATAAAGTAAGTTAAGTAAGTTTATAGTAAGTTAATTATTTTCTAAATTAATGTCTAAGGTCCGTTATAGCCATTTCTCAACTCCATTATCTTTAGGTTAAAAATGTTTGATCATCAAAAATATCGGCATGAATCAGCGCAGTTATAGTATTACCAGGTAACAATGGCCAACTAGTCGGTTTTCCCTTTTTTCATGGTGGACAGTAAAGTACTAGACCGTTATTGTAGCTCTTTTTCACTTTTATAACCCTTGTCTGGATATTTTCTACATTGTCTGAATAGCTATTTCGTTAAAATTATATTATAACAAAATATCCAATTCGCCTTGACAGACACAAAACAAACATTGTAGACACAGTCGTAATCGATGTATTGTTTTTTTCTTCTTCCTTTTCCATTGCAACTTTTGTTTCTGCTTCAATTGGAAATTAATTCGAAATTTGTATCGATTATATATTTTTACAATTGTAAATTTTGTTAAAAAAATCATAAGGACATCAGGAAGCTAAATTAAATGGATTGATAACTAATTTTTAAAAAAGTAGATCATAGGAATTAGATTAAACCATGTAGGTGGGCAGAACCAGATTCAACAGTTTTAACGTAACTAAAGTTACCATCTAGTCAGAAATAATATGAGACTACTTGCCATGTCATTTTATTTTATTTTATTACCGTCATGGAACAGTTGACCCAATTTTAAGTTTACTACTATCAATGTTCAACTCCGAAGCCTTGTGATTTCGAACCCAATCCAGAAGACAAAGGAACCCTTGGATCAAGTATGGGACTCTAACCCATGATCCGTCTACCACTCAGGATATTTTACGTCAGCACTGGGATTAGTGCGAACCTGGTTTACCCCATTGGGAGACGAGCGCTTTATTCCCCGACTCGCCGCGGCTTTTTGCCTTGTCATTTGTTGATGAAAGTAAGGAAGTTTCAGTTATTTTCTTATCAAAAGCCAAGATTTTGAAGAAATAAATTTATTTAGAAATATTCGGATTTTACGCCACTAGTTTTTTAATAGCGTGAAGATTTATTTTTGCATATAATAACACCACTTTTAGTTTTTTTTAAAAAAAATATCAAAGCTGGATTTCAAACATGCTGAATCGTCAATTATGTTAAATGGCTTGATCTGATGAAACTGGGACCTAGAAAGTCAGACAGAAATCCACCAGTATGATTGGTTATGAGCTACTGATAAAGGCCAATACATAATCCCAGGTAGATAAGTCTAAATTTAAAAAAGTTAGGTACATGAAGACAGTTACAATACAGATTTTATTTCTGTTAGTTCTTAAATCATATCGATTGGCGTAATTTTCTTTAATTTTAAATATATTATCTACAACACTACTAATGTTCTTTCATTTGTGAAGTATAGTATGTTTCTCAGTGTAGCAATGTCATGGTATAATTTTAAACTATAAAAAAATATTTAAATAGGAATTAAACAGCGTTTTTTCTTTCTTTATTTCTCCCGGTTAAATTCGATTGGATTGAATAAAAACGGGTATTATCGTATTTCCAAAAATTAATAAATTTTCCTACCAAAATATATTTCTTCTGTATTCAGTAATATTTATTTTTTGAACAAAGGAATTAATTTATGAAATAAATGAAGATGTAATAATTTTTTTTAATTAGTGACTGAGGAAAAAATAGAAAATGTTAATCCAATCATTGCTTACGTGATTTTCATTTATCCATACGGGGGAAAATATTCAGAAATTTTTTTTGTACTGTTTGATAGTGACTTTTCTAGTTTAAAAAACATAATTCTGTTTTAAAAAAAACGTTATTTAAATCATTTAGTCATTTTCCCATTTAAATTATAACGGTATACCAGAAATTCTGGTTTTCAAATTATAGTTCTTATTACTATACTTTAATAAATAATACAAAACTACAAGTAAATTCATCCGAATAAATAGTTTTTATTTCCTGCTTTAATGAATCATAATAAAATTACCAAATTTTACCTCATTTACCAAATATTATCATACATTATTAAACTACATTCCATTGTTAATTTTACCAAAATCATTACCAAAGTGATTCGATAAAAGTTACCGAGCGTTTTGGTATTCCCACGGAGTGAGAAGCATGGTAAACTTTACCATACTCTAGAGGTCTGGAGCATGCTTTTTTCTCGTGCAAGCAAACCTTTTCCTAAGATTTTTAATACAATATTTGTGATTATCAATTTATGATTTTGCTGCCATATTTTTTCAAATTTTGGTAATAACTAACAGATTTCTCAACCATACTGACAGTGAAATTTTCTGAAAATGGATTCAATGAAGAAAAGAAGTTCACATGTTATTAAAGATTTTCAAAAAATAGTTACAACTACATTTTCGAAAATTTCCAATGCCGTTCCTCTCTTCTTTCTCCCATTCAGTTTATAAGGTCGACAAAAAAATAACCAGTAATGTTTATAAGAAAGGTACAGGAATCGGGGCATTTTTTCACTAGTTTTTTTTTCAGATTCAAAAATAATAAATGAAAATATTTTGTGTATTTCAAATCATATAATTATCAGAACTTTTAGTTTTTACCTTAAATACGTCTCCAAGTATTACCCAAACCGTGAACTGACAACATTGTTAGCTTTAAGAGGCCTTTATCGGAAACTTTAAAGTAATGCACTTTAAAAGGATAGCTTTTATAAGGCTAATTTATTAAAATAAAATTTTAAAATTAGAATAATAATA